CACTATCATCAGCCTTCTGATAAAGACCACTCTTCTTCATGGCCAGCCTCTGATCATGGGCCTGAATAGGCCTTGTGGCAAGATTATCTACTTGCTGTTTAATAAAGTCTGTCAGATGCCTAAGGGCCCATAGGCCAAAAGAAATAAGCAATATAAAGCCCTAAAAGGGGCCTAAAATGTTAGGCAATAAGGTGGATAGCCAGGGGGAGGTAGAGAACCAATATTTATACCAACTCTCCTGTTGCTCTCTCTCTCTCTTTCTTTTTTCTAATCCCTCTCTGACCTTTTTCATACTGTCCTTAACCCTTCCTGTCTTGCTGACATAGAAACAGCATTCTTCCCTAAGGGCAGCACAGAGGCCTCCTTGTTGTAGGAACAGGAGGTCCAACCCTCTCCAGTTTTGTAGGACGACCTCAGCCAGACAGTCAATGGAATCCACAAGTTCAGCAATTCCTTTTTGGAATCGATGGACATCTTCATCAATTGTTGAGCACAGTTCAGAGTACCTACTGTTTGAGAGGACAAGGGAGATAATGCCTATCCCGGCTCTGGCAACGCCGAGGCTGAGAAGGAGAGAGATGGTGAGGGCAGTAATTGGCTCCCCATGATGTCTCAAAAAGGAGGAGCCATCTTTCTCTTCCCACAAAGGAAGGAACTCATTGGGAGGATAATAAAGCAGGCAAGGCAAAAGCTTAATCAAAATACAAAATTCATTGTTTTTACCTATAAATGAGGCCATGGCTAAGCAGGGGGTGAGACCATCGGTACATGCCCACCAAGAGTCATTGGAGGGGGGCTGGAGGGATGGCTCAGCGGTTAAGAGCACTGACTGCTCTTCCAGAGGTCCTGAGTTCAATTCCCAGCAACCACATGGTGGCTCACAACCATCTACAATTCAATCTGGTGCCCTCTTCTGGTGGAACACTGTATATGTAATAAATAAATCTAAAAAAAAAAAGATAACTTTAAAAAAAAAAAAAAAAAAAAAAAAAAAGAGTCATTGGAGGGAATGATGTAGGCATGAGTTGGGTCAGGATTATAGTTGTATTGCAAAGATGTCTATATTGGGGGGGGGTGTGCAGAGGTAGAAATACACAGCCCACGACCAGATGCCTGAGTGACAGAGATTCCATGAGTGGAGTCTGCATGCCACCTGCAATGCCATGAATCACTGGAATAAGCTGCAGCTCCCAAAATGGCTATCCCTTCATAGAAGAGAGGCTGGGAGTGATAACATAGCCAGCAATCCTTTACAAGCTCAGGGGAGGTTTCATTTAGTGTAAGAAAGGTTTGGTCTATAAGATTAAGTACAAGGTTCTGAGTCTGGGGGGAGGGCAGTGAAAAGAGGGGGCGTAGGCAGGGTAATTGGAGGGAGTCGTGTGGAGGCAGGAGGGAATTGAGTAGGCAGTTGAGGAACACGTATGGGGTTAGGTCCAATGGGTTGGGAGTGCTTGTAATTAACCCGCTCTCTGATAAGTTTGATGGTAAAAAGGACTCCCTGGTCGTATCCATCCTTATATAGCCTGAGACCCCAAGTAAATCCTGTATCCTAGTTTAAGGTCTTTTTTCCTGGCTCCGTGAAGGAGATCTGTAGCGGGAGACACCAGCCAGAGCATTTGTGTACATTATTGAGCTGTTGTTCAGTAGGGGTAGTATAATTGGCATTAACCGTGATAAAATCCCAGGAAGATGGTTTCCAATACCCAGTGCTAGTGGTCTTACATCCCCATGCCAGACAAAAGAAGTCATCCCTGCCCAGGGTGTTGTGAAATCCTGGGCAAAAGTAAGATGCTTAAGCCTTTGGCGGAAACCGGCGTTGTGGCATCCGCCCTGAGCCCAAGGATCATTAGCACCAGGGGACATATGGGAGGTGGACAGTTCTGGGGCTGTGTTAAGGTTTGTCCATGCCTCGATATCCTATCTACCCAGGGCGAGCTTACAGAGGTCGGGATACAGATTGGGCCATCAGGAGTTGTCTTTGCCGGTGGTGGTACAAGACAGGCTCCAGATGATCTCTCCACGTGCATTGAGGACCACCCAGGTCTGGTTAGAGGGTTGATGTGGGTTGAGGATGAGGACCTAGATTCCTGGCGACCATTGTCAGGAACATCAAGGTTCCTGGAATTCTTAGCAGCATCTATAAAACAAGAGGGGAGGGGGTGATGTCTCAGCGGCAGGCTGGTGCTCCTCTCTGGACAAGGGTGGGTTAACCATTTTTACAAGCTGCTCTGGAAACCGTCTGGGCTAAGAGTTTTCTGAGTCATTGAGGCAGGCTGAGCCTCTGCCCCAAATGAGAACAGGGTCTGGTCCCTTCCAATTGTTGGCTAAGGGGTCTTTCCAATGGACTTGAGCATAAGAGTCCTGTGAGCCAGGGTGCCAATGGCTGTCCTTCCCCCTTGTTGAGGTTAAGGAAATTAAGCATGAACGGAGCATGATTAAGCCTGTTTCGGGGAGTGGGGGCCATGTGGGCCTCCGTGTATGTCTGGAGCCTCTGAAGTAGGGACTTGAGCGTTTGATGAGCTCGTTCCACAATTCCTTGCCCTTGAGGGTTGCACAGAATGCTAGTAACATGTTTTATTTGGAGAAGGCTACAATTTTTTTTTTGAAATTTAGCTCCTGTATATCCGGGTACATTGCTTGCTTTTATAATCTTGGGAAGGCCCATTACAGACATGCATTGCAAGACATGAGTGATCACATCCCGAGAAGCCTCTCCTGTAAAGGGTGAGGCACAAAGGAATCCACTAAAGGCATTCACAGTGACATGGATATACTAAAGTTTACCAAAGGCAGGGAAATGGGTGACAGCCATCGGCCACTGGGAACCAGTCCTTGGGGGTTGACTCCCAGATGTGGGACTGGTGCCGAGATGGTGCAAGTACCACATGCCTTAACTATCTCTCTAGCTTGGTCCCTGGTTATCTTAAGCATCTGCCGCAGGGTGGAGGCATTCAAATGATGAAGTAAATGGGCCTGTTGGGCTCGTGAAAGCTGAGAAGGAAGAAGGACTGGTGTTGTGAGCTTAGTGGCTGCATCAGTGACAGTGTTGCCCTCCGTGAGTGGCCAGGAAGTCCTGTGTGGGCTCTTAGGTGTCCAATAAAAAATGGGGAGTTCCGGTCTATATTTGGGAGAACAGCTAAAAAGCCGTAGAATTAGCTCTAATAGAGGGGACTGTTTCAAGAAGGGGAATGGAGTGAGCCACATATACACTACCAGTATATAAGTTGAATGGGGTGGATGGTAAAAGATTAAATACTTGAAGGACTGCGTACAATTCCACTAATTGAACGGAGGTGTAGAAGGTGGCTAGGGAGATAACCTTATTATCAATACCACATGCAGCAGTGCCATTGGAAGAGCCGTCAGTAAGGACGGTGATTCCTTCTTTAAGCGTCACCTTAGGGAAAGTAAAGGCGTGTAGTCGAGAAAACTGAATAAGAGGATCATCAGGATAGTGATAGCATGCAATAGACCAATCATCATCTGTTTGGAACAGCCAAGTGACTTGATCGGCTGTATATGGGACAATGAGAATATTGGGGTCCTTAACAAAGTATTGCCCAGCCAGCTTTCCGCCCTCTACAATCAAGCTCACTTTTAGGAAATAGTAGGTAGCAAGAACCTTGGAGGGCTTGGAGTGAAGGGGGACCCAAAGAAGTGGATGGCCAGTATGAGGCCGCTGTCTCAGTTGCCTCTGCCAGAAGACTCCTAAGGCGGTGGGGGTGGTTTTGCAGACAATGAAGTGGAGAGGAAGCCGAGGGTCATGCTGAAAGGAAGTTTGAAAAGAAACAGCCTGCTGCATTGCAGACAGGGCCTGTCTGGTGGGTTCTGTTAGAATGTGGGGTGAAAGAGGGTGTGAGTCACCATTTAACAGGTCATATATAGGGGCTAAAACATTGGGGAAAATGGAAAGTAGGGCTGCAAAAATTGCAGATTGCCAAGGAGCTGCTGAAAGTCATGAAGAGTCCAAATGGAAGAAAGGTGAAACTCAACTTTTGGTGTATAAACCTGCCCGCCTTGGAGTTCGAACCCGAGATATGAGTAGGGCGGCTGAGTCTGCACCTTTTCAGTGATTCCCACCTGAGTTAAGGCTTGTTGGAGACGGGAAAACCAGTCTAGGGCTTCCGCTTCTGTAGGGGCAGCCATGGAATGGAGGGTGTAAGTCTGGGGCCAGATTTGGCGGGTAGGGGCTCTAACTTGAGCCACAAAGCTTTGAGCTAGGGTGGGACTGTTGGTCATCCCTTGGGGCAGAACTCTGCAACCCCCGGAGGGGACCCCTGACCACGGGGATGAAGTGATGAGGGTCGCTATAATTTGGCGGGTCTTCACGAGCAGATCCGATCTAAAAAGCAAACTTCAAGAGGTTTAAAGAAACAGGCTCAGGACAACTTTTGCTGATCAAGAGCATTTATTCTTGGGGGTGAATAGCTTTTATAGGTAGAGCAACTCAGGGGGCGGTACAAGCATGTCAATCAAGTCTCAACTCAAATATACACCAAATAAGGTAAAGACGAAGCTGTAATTTTCTGTCAGTTGCATTCTGCAAATGCTTATCATCATAAGCCAGGTGCAGGAAATAGGGAGGGGTAATGAGGGGATTTGAGCATATGTTAAACATTATCTTCAAGGGACATCTTGTTTGTACTAAAAGCACAAGTCATGTAAAATGTTTGCCAAACAGGTTCTTATAAACTTTACTCTGCAGGCATAAATAGAACATCAACTATAAAAACATTATGGTAAAAGCATCCAAAGGAACACATTAATCTTTTGTTAAAAAAGGCAATTGTTCTATAAGGGTTACTTCCCCCCTGGCTAGGCGGTTGGGCTGCCCTGTGTAAATTTAACTTTTGTGGTTAGCAGAGTCCAGATCCCACGACCTGTCCTAAGGTCATGCCGCGTGGTTGTGGCTGCGTGCCCCAGCGAAGCAGATTGGTGTCGTTGGTGTAGATGGGTGAGCCGAAGGCTGCAATACCTTCATAGAATGGAGGGATGGGCGAATAGCAAATCCAGCAGTGCTCATAAGCGGTGTTGGAGAGTGCCTGGGCCAAGGCGGAAGGATGAGGTCCGCGGTGGAGACTGGACAGGCAGGCATGGTGGGTTGCTAAACAAAGGTGGCGACAGCGGGAGCTGGAGAATGGAGATTAGGACCAGGGCGAGGGGTGGCGGCCTTGGGTAGGAATGAGCCACCACCAGAGGGGTGTAAAAAAAGGATTGGGGCCAACAGCAATAGGGTGAAAGGAAGGGATTTCTTTCAAAAGTTTAATGGAAAAAGTGAGGCCTGGGTCTGTGCCAGAAACATATAGGCGTAGACCCCAGTGAGCACCGTGGGAACCTTCCCAGAGGAACCTTTTTCCTGCAGCTGTAAACTGGATATGGAGGAGGTTGCACCAACTGTGTGAACAAAGGGGATTAAATGGTGTTGGGCCAGAATTAAGCTGTATGGCAGGGGGATTAAATCGCTTTACAGTTATGAGGTCCCAGGAAGAGGAGGGATTCCAATAGGTGTCACCTGTGGTTTCGCAGCCCCATTGTGCGCAATAAAAACTTTCTGATTGCCCACACTTTCCTGTTAGGGATCGATCTCTATGTGGGCCGGGGCAAACGTATATGGGTGCCATGGTTAGATAGGTACGTGCAGCGGCGTTATAACACCCAGGAACGGTACTATAGCGGTTATTTGTGTTCACGGGTTTGGGTTGGGGCATGAAGTTATTAGGTGTGCCCCAAGTTTTTCCAGCCGCGCCCATGGCGAGTGCACACAGGTCGACAAAAAGATTAGGCCATGGGATAGAACCCGCAAGTTGTGAGGTAGCATTGGCTATGTCCCCGGCCTCATTGGTAATTATCCAAGTGTAGTTGTATACTCGGTAGGGATTGGCAGGGATGCAAGGAAGGAAACTAAAAATCAAAAGGAGAAATGGAAGAAGTAGCAGGCGATGCGGTGTCATTTTCACTGGGAGTTTTGTTGTCAATAGCATCTGAAAGAGAAACAAGAGATTCCTCAGGGGCGCTTTCCCTGGGTGGGTTATAAAGCTTGACCAGCCTGTCTGGAAGCCAGCACGTTTCTCCATTGCTGGTGTTATGAACGCATGCATGTCCTTTTCCCCAGATAAGGACTGGGTGAGGACCGAGCCATTGGCCTGTGTGCACATCCTTCCAGAGTACCTGTTGAAAGTTTTCACGGGCGGAAGGGTGCCAGAGCCGATCAGCCGCTGATCGGCCATTATTGTCCAGAGAGAGAAAATTGAGCACAAAAAGTGCATGATTTAAAAGCAGGTGATGCTTGCCTTTGCGAGCGTACAGGGTTTCACTTTCGGAAGCAAGCTTAAAGAGCATATTTTTCAAGGTCTGATTATATTTAAGATTGCCAAAGGCAGAATAATGAGTAGCATCCATTTGCCAAAGCTCACCAGGGACAAGACCACGGGGGTTGACTCCTGTATGAGGCTCAGGCAAAAGGGAGAGGCAAGCTTTTCACGATTTAACTATCTCTCGAGCCTGTTCATGAGTTATGGAATATTGTAGCCTAAGTGTTTGTGCATTAAGGTGATGTAATCTATGAGCTTGTTGTGCTAACTGTAAAGAGTTAGACTGATCAAGAACAGCTAGAAGTAGTGTAGCATTATCGACTGAATCATTTCCTTCAGCCAGAGGGCCAGGGAGACCAGTGTGTGCTCTAATGTGAGCAACGAAAAATGGGTTGGTGCGAAGTAAAAGGAGTTCCTGTATCTTAGAAAAAAGGGCAGATGCAGGGGTGGAAGGCTTAATATAAGGGACTGTTTCTAAAAGAGGAAGGGACGCTGCAATGTAGCAGCTATCTGTATACAAATTAAAAGTTTGGGGAACTAACTCAAAAACTTTAACAATTGCAGCAAGTTCGACAAGCTGTGTTGAAGTGTGTTGTGTGGGCACTTGATGAATAACGCCGTCCACCTTAAAGGCAGCCATGCTGTTAGAGCTGCCATCGGTAAAAACTAAGGAGGCATTAGGAATGGGCTGAAGTTTGGTAATCTTTGGAAAAACAACAGGGTGCAAGCGCAAAAACTGAAGCAATTTGTTTGAGGGATAGTGGTTATCCATGGTGCCTGAAAACCCTGAGGCGAAAACGATCCATTCTTGATGGTTTTCCATTAGCCATTGTAGTTCTGGCTTGGTGTAAGGAACAATAACCTTAGTGGGTTGGCAACCAAAAAGCTTAACAGAGGCTTCACAGTATAAGGAGCTGAAGTACTAAATGGGGATATGTGGCTAGAACCTTGTTAGGGGATGAGGGAAGATGTATCCAAAAAAGAGGGGCCAGCTGCCATAAGACTGCAGTGGGTGCAATGGCAGTAGGACAAACAATAAGGTGGAGGGGTTGGGTGACGTCGTAGTAAGTGATAAACTGATTTTGAATCGCAGTGTTAACTATTGCCAGGGCTTTGGCTGCCTTGGCGGTGAGCTGCCGTGGGCTGTTGGGGTTGGTGTCTCCTTTAAGGATATCAAATAGAGGTTTTAAATCACCGGTAGACACCTGTAAATAGGGCCTAAGCCAGGTGATGTCACCCAAGAGGCGCTGAAAGTCATTGAGTGTTTTAAGATGATGTGTGCGAATTTGGACCTTTTGGGTTTTAACCTGATTAGGAAGTAATTCAAAACCAAGAAAAAGCTGTGGAGGGTGGACCTGTATTTTACCTTCTGAAATATTAAATCCTCTATGTTGTAAAGTGTTAATAAGGTCTCTTGCAGCCTGTTGGACAAGTAGTTCATCGGTACAGGCCAATAATATGTCATCCATATAATGAATGAGATAAATCGAAGGGTAAAGTATTCTAAATGGATCTATAATGGAGGCAACATACTTTTGACAAAGGGTAGGGTTATTGGCCATGCCTTGAGGTAGAACCTTCCATTGGTATCTAGGGTTGGGGCCAATACAATTTGTTAAGGGCACCGAGAACACAAAATGCTTGCAGTCTTCGGGGTGTAGAGGGATAGAAAAAAAGCAGTCTTTCAGGTCTAAAACAATTTTAAAGCTTCCTTTGGGAACAGCAGAGGGGCAGGGGAGTCCAGGTTGGGTGGCTCCCATGGGTATCATGGTTTTGTTAATTTCTCTTAGATCATGTAAAAGTCTCCACTTGCCTGATTTCTTTTTGATAACGAAAATAGGGGTATTCCAAGGAGATGTGGAGAGTTCTATATGGCCAGCATTGAATTGCTCCTGCACAAGCTGCTGGGCTGCTTCTAATTTTTCTTTGACTAGAGGCCACTGCCCTACCCAGACAGGATCATCATTTATCCAGGTGATTTTTATCTGCTGGGGGTACAGGGGAAGCAGTGACTGCTACTGAAAATTTTGAGCAGGGGGGCTATAGCCAAGGCCCGCTCTATCTAACTTTATGGGAGGGTTAATGGGTCGTGATATGCCCTGTAAATTCTTTCCAAGACCTTTAGTTGGGGTGTATCCTTGTGTAAGCATTTGTTTCATTACTGCTGGGTTTTTACATTTTATAATGTAAACTCCCATTTGTTCCATAATATCTCGGCCCCACAAATTAATAGGCAAGTCAGGAATAATGTAAGGGCAAACAAGACCTGTGTCTCCATCTTCATCTTGCCACACTAATCTGTTAGCACTAATAAGAACCTTTTTTTTTTTTTTTTTGGTTTTACGAGACAGGGTTTCTCTGTATTGTTTTGGAGGCTGTTGGCTCGAACTCACAGAGATCCGCCTGCCTCTGCCTCCTGAGTGCTGGGATTAAAGGTGTGCGCCACCACCTCCCGGCAATGAGAACCTTTTTGACAGAGCCTGCTATCCCAGAAACATTATCAAAAGAGGAAACCGTTGGCCAGTCAGGAGGCCAGTGGGTAGGAGAGAAGCAGGTGGTGTCAGCTCCAAAATCTAATAGACCAGATAACATTTTTCCTTCAATATTAATAGACAGCGGGGTTTGGACGCGGCACATGGTGCGGACTCAAAAAATATCAGAGGAGCCAGGGGAGGTGATACCCCGATCTTGTGACAAGGCGGGGAACTGGACATCCATGGGTAGAGGGAGAGGCTGGGCAATGCGTTGGCCAGGAACAATTTGTACGGGGTGATAGGGGGCCACCGCAAGGAGCTTGATTTCTCCTGTGTAATCATTATCCACTAAAGAAGGTTGACAATAAGGCCTTTGATGGTTGCAGAGGCTCTGCCAATAATCATAAAAAAAGTATTGGAGGGTGTGGGGGTCCATAGACTCCAGTGGGTATAACTTGTACCCCATCTTCGGGTTTTAATATTCTTGGGGAGGAGGCACAGAGGTCCAATCCTGCGCTGCCGGTGGTGGCCCTGACAAGGGAGGTTGCTGTGGAGGCAGCATACTGCGAAGCACCAAAGGTTTGCTTGCTGGTGCGTGCTGCTGGGCTTGAGAAAGGGCTGCAAACTGTGCTGGCTGGGGTGGGGTTTGTTGTGAATGCTGGTAAGGGCCAAACTGGCGGCGGGGCGGCTGTTCCCCGAGGCCGGTTGAAAGTTGGTATGTTGTGGGACCAGGAGCTGGTCTGGCAACCCGTTTCCCTGAGCAGGGGGCAAGGGGTTGCCTTCAATGTCGTGTGTGGAGCGGCAAGCCGAGACCCATTGGCGGCCATGGCGGCTCCGAGGACAAGGGGAAGGGCGTGGAGCCGAATTGCCTGTCTGCAGTGCTGGGGCCTGCCGCTGGGGACAGCGGGAGGCAAAGTGGCCAGGGGTGCCACACTGAAAGCAAGTTTTTCCTTTGTTCTGCCCTTGAAAAGCAACAAGGGCCTTGGTTATTTTGTGAACAAAGGGATCGGCCTCTCTACATAGGCTGATCATGTCATGTAAAGTTTTTCCTTTCAAATTTCCCCTAAGAATGTTTTTGCACGTATCATTTGCATTTTCAAAAGCCAATTGCTTCACTAAAGTATTATCAGTATCAGTGGAGGGGACACCCAAAATTCTTTCTACAGCTTCAAGGAGGCGGGAAATGAAACTGTTATAGGATTCATCCAGGCCTTGAACAATTTGGGTTAAAGGAGCCGTGGAGGTGCCTGCCCGGGGTAGAGACTTTCACGTTCCCATAGCAGCTAGGGCTGAATTGGCAAGGAGGTTGCGGGGGAACTTCCATTGCTCAGCAAGTTTATCATAAGGAGTGGAACCAGAGATGCGAGCGAATAAGTCATTGTCCCCTCCAGCTAGCTCTTTGCAGTGGCTTAAAAAATCAACTTCCCATAATAAATATACCTCTCCTTTCAGTGCGGTTTTCGCTACACCCCTCCATTCAAAAGGCATGACAACTCCGCCGCCCCCCATAGATTCAAGGCATGACAAGGTGTAGGGGGCCATAAGACTATAGGTGTTAACTGCCTTAAAAAGCTCATGTAGGTCTTTTTTGTTAATAGCCCTATACTCTAAGAGCTGTTCGTGAACAGGGCGGTCAGGGAGGTCTGGTCCTCCGGCTGCGCCTCCCTCATCAGGGCGGGATCTGGCTCAATAGCATCGGGGTCGGGATTTTTTTTTTTTTTTTAATGAGACAGGGTTTCTCTGTATCGGGGTCGGGATTTTTGCGAGCCGCTTCTTTGGCTCGAGCCGCCTGTATAGTGTGTGGTCGCCCCTGTGCCGCTGGAGGAGGTCTAGTAGGGGGAGGCGGTTCGGTTCCTTCCCCTTCAGGGCCAAAAAGAGGGAACTGGAGTTTAGGTGATGCCGAAGAGAGGAGCTGTGAAAACTTGTCGCTGAGAGCTTGAATGCGAGAGGAAGCAAGAGAATCAACAGTGGAGGAGTATTTGGGAGCAAAAGGTCGAGGAAGATCAGGGAGCCAGGAAGGATCGTAGGGAGGAGGTCTCATGGCCAGAGAGACAGAGAGACCTCGAGCCGATGGTAGGCGGCAACCTTTTCCTCTAGTTCCTGGGCGTCCCCAGGATCGAGAGGTTCCTCAGGAGGAGCAGAGGCGACAGCCCGTAGGGAGGGGTAGATACTGGTGGCTAGAGAGCGAACTTTAGTGGCAAATGAGGTAGGTTGATCAGAAGGAGAAGGAGGAAGTTTAACAAAGTCAGAGTTAGCAGAGGAAGAGGAACAATCTTTAGAAAGATCAGCGACAGAACTGGCCCTGGAGCTGGCACGAGAACACTCTCGGGAAGCGACCTCTAGATGTTGTTGGGCATCTTTAAGAATTTGTTCATTTTGGGGGCTTTTCTCCGAGTTAACAATGATACCTTTTAAGAGATCCCAATACTGCTGCATAATCTTTTCATCGCTTTCAGAGCCTTTGGTTTCAAAATAATTAGTTAATTCGGCCCCGACCTGTTCCCAAGTACTGCAAACTATTTTTGGGCAAGTAATGACAAACCAGGTACAGACTTCATGGACAAAAAGCAGAAACTTAAGTAAATCTTTTTTCTTAACCTCAATGTTTCTATCTCTTAATTCTTCCTGAATTCTTTAATAAATTTGGCTTCCTTGCTGATATTAGTCCCCATTTTTGCGGGACGAATGGGACGGTGGTGTTAACCTAGGTTATTAGACTGACCCTACTCCGAGCCACCCGGATGGGGATTACCTGACGTCTTATGAGTGGGCTCTGGACTCTTCACGCCTCTGCCGTCCGATTGGTGGTCTGTAACTCGTGTCCCAGGTTGGGCACCAGTTGTGACACCCGGAGGGGACCCCCGACGCGCGGGGATGAAGTGATGAGGGTCGCTACTAATTTGGTGGGTCTTCACGAGCAGATCCGATCTAAAAAGCAAACTTCAAGAGGTTTAAAGAAACAGGCTCAGGACAACTTTTGCTGATCAAGAGCGTTTATTCTTGGGGATGAATAGCTTTTATAGGTAGAGCAACTCAGGGGGCAGTACAAGCATGCCAGTCAAGTCTCAACTCAAATATACACCAAATAAGGTAAAGACGAAGCTGTAATTTTCCATCAGTTGCATTCTGCAAATGCTTATCAGCATAAGCTAGGTGCAGGAAATAGGGAGGGGTAATGAGGGGGACTTGAGCATATGTTAAACATTATCTTCATACAAGTTTCTAAAGATTTCACAAAATTGGTCAGTTTTCTGTATTTTTCATTTATACATGATTCTATACATTTTAATATTTTCATCCTTAGATGTAAGTTGTCTTTCAGAAGTGTTCTATCTGCTAGATGGTCATTATCCTTGGAAATGGAACAAATTCTGTCTGTCAGTTTTCCAATCTGAAGTTCCAGTCTTTGATTTTTATTAATCAAGTCATCAGACATGGAACGAGTTGTTTCTGCTAGTCTGTTAATGCTATCTTGCATTGTTCCTATTTTGGTCATTAAACCAGCAGACATGGAAAAAAAATCTGTCTTCTAGCTGGCCATTTTTATGTTCTAATTTGTTTATTAGATCATTATGGCCACATTCAATATCCTCAATACTCTCTAATTTATCAGTATTTTCTCGTAGGATCTGAATAATCTGCACAAATTCGTTGTTCTTTGCTGTATTATCAAACCCTTTCTTTAACGACAGTATATGGATTATGAAGCTAATTGTTAGTATTAAAGATAGGTATAAGGCCGGGCGGTGGTGGCGCATGCCTTTAATCCCTGCACTCGGGAGGCAGAGGCAGGCGGATCTCTGTGAGTTCGAGGCCAGGCTGGACCAACAGCCTCCAAAACAATACAGAGAAACCCTGTCTCGTAAAACAAAAACAAAAAACAAAACAAAACAAAAAAGCCGGGTGTTGGTGGCGCACGCCTTTAATCCCAGCACTTGGGAGGCAGAGGCAGGTGGATCTCTGTGAGTTCGAGGCCAGCCTGGTCTACAAGAGCTAGTTCCAGGACAGCCTCCAAAGCCACAGAGAAACCCTGTCTCGAAAAACCAAAAAAAAAAAAAAAAAAAAAAAAAAGATAGGTATATTCTGAGCAAGTCATAATCCTCTAAAATCCCATCCACATAAGAAGCAAAAAGATCTCTAACGTTCTGCATCGTAAGATTATCCGCCGTTGGTATAGTTAATCTTATTTGTTATTACTAGCTTAAAATGCAAGGAATGCAATGCTTACCTTCAGCGATTTTCTAGTCTGGAGGTGTGGTGTGGATTTCAACTTGCAGTAACTATGTCTGGCCAGCAGGTGGCGCAGACATATCGCCAAGCACAATTCAGCCTCGGATGATCATTCAGTTCCAAATGAAATCTGAATACACAAATTTAGAGAGAGCAGGATTTTGTTAAAAAAGGAGGAAAAAGAGCCCTGTGATTTTGCGGAGACCTGTGGGGAGAAAGGGGAGCCGGGGCGGCTTAGGCGGGTGGCCGGAACTCGTCCAGAGGCAAGAGTTGCGCTGGAGCTTGTGCTCCACCAAAGTGGGAGGTGGCTGAGCAAGAAATCTCAGTTACTGGGGCTGCAGCCGGATAGGTGAGACAGTGGACCTTATGGGTTGCTGAAGCGGTGTTGCTGAGGCGGGCGGCACTGGGATCCAGGAGCCACTGGAGAACAAGGGGCTGAGCCAAGCTGAGCCGGAGAATGGGACTGAGTTGGGAAACCCGTAACTCAGGAGGGACTCTGGGGGCGTGAGGGAGGGCGATGCAGGGACTGGGGAAAGCGGGGAGCAGGGACTGGAGCCGGCAGTGGCTGCAGCAGTGAAATCACTTACATGAGAACCCAGCGCTGTGCAGCTCTTGGAGACCCACACCGGAAACCCAAGAGAGCGAGTGGCCCTCTCCTCAGCCCTTTATTCCACACGCTAGGTCCGCACCCGTAGCCACGCCCAAAAGGGGCGTGGTCAGCGCCACAGGTACCTAGAGCTCTCCCTACGCACTTTTACATAAATCATAGAGGCTGTGGAAGGAGTACCTATGGAGATAAGTTTAACAAGGCTTATTTGTGCACAGTTGTTTGGTCTTCCACTTTCTCATCCTTGAAAATGAGAGTCAGAACAGCTTTCCCAGGGAACTGGTTTCAGAAAAGCAGCAGGCTCGGTGTCCTCTTCTTGCCCTGCTGATTTTCAAATGCCCTTCATTCACACTGCTCATCTGCCACACCTCCTCCAGGCAGCAGTTCATGCCGGGAGAAGTCAGAACCCTTGTCCCGCTGCTCCTGATATCAGGTTGTGGAGATGCTTCTGCTACCAGGACACAGCAGGTAGGTGTGTCTTTAAGACACCTTTCTCTAGCCTGGAATCTGGAGCCTTCTTTTTGTAAGGAGTTAGAGACTAAATATTTTCTACTTCCATATGGTGTGGCTGTAGATGAACCTGGATGTGGCTGTAGCAACAAAACTTGGGATGTGGGCTGGGCAGATTAGTTCAGTTGGTAAAGTACCATTCTTGTCATGCAAGAATGAAGATCTGAAATTGATCTTTAGAGTCCATATCAAAAGTCAGGCTTTGTGACACTTGTTTATAATTCCAGTGCTAGGGAGATGGAGAAAGGGGGCTCTCTGGAGCTCACTAGCCATCTGCCTCAGCTTACTTAGTGATCTCCAAGCAATGAGAGACCCTACCTCACAATAAGGTGAATGGTGCCTGAGGAGCGAATGATGCCTGAGACCCTCCTCATACCTCTACATGCACACACACACACACACACACACACACACACACACACACACACACTCGCCCACATATACTCACACTCATGCAAACAACCCCTTATACATGGGCAATAAAATGTCATGTAATTTGTCTTGGAGAAGTATTCTTGTAATTCATGATCAACCATTTGAAACATAAAAACATCTATGAATGATTAAAAAAACAAGAGGCTATGTGCAGCCCATCCACAGTGTTTGTAGACCTTCTGTCTGACACCAAACAGCTTTGGACATCTGAGACCTTTCTAGAAACAATGTAAAAATTTCACATACACACATAATGCTTTTTTCTCAAACAAGGGTAACCTTTGCTGGATGTGGTGGTTCACATACATAATATTAGCACTTGGGAAGCAGAGGTAGGAGGATTGCTGCAAGTTGGAGTTCAAGGTCAGCCTGGATTACAGTGTGAGACTTATCTCAAGAAACAAAACAAGAAAACCCTGTCACAATGGTTCCTGAGTAAATCTGTTTCACTAATATCTTCTAATTATAGTGACATACTAGAAAGAACTGTCCCAAAGGGCAGACTCTAATATGTGTCTCAGAGATACCCGTTATAGATTTAACATCTGGATCATAATGGGGATTATTATGTGAATCAAGTTGCTTTCATGTTGTCAGGTTGATGCCCGGCCTTCTCTTGTTCTACTCTAAAGCATAAAGGATTTCTTTCTCATACCCTTTGGCCCTCTGGCTTCCAAGTAGGCCTGGGATAATTAGCAGGTGAGAATAAGGCAGAAGCCAGGATAGCCCTCCAGCCCTTGGATCTCAGTGCCTCTTAGTATCCTTAAGACATCCACTTTTGGAGATAGTAGCAGCTTTTCACTGGCACTGATCTGTGCCAGTGACTCACTTGTGAGTCTCCCATCCTGGCAGCCAATTCAGTTTTGTTCCTCTGACAATGTCTTTTAGATTTAGCCCAGGCCATCTGCTTCTTGCAAGTGATCTTTTGTATGAAATCTTGCCTCAGACAGGTTTCCTATGGTCTTTTTAGTTTAGCATTTAATGTTCTGTTCTACCAGCGGCAATTTGCTCTCTTGTGTGCTGAAGACTATTTACTAAAGACCTCTACAAATATATCAGTGGTCAAAGAAAGCTAGCTTTATCCAACGTGAGAGAGGGGAGAGCACCCCATAGTGGAAGGGCAGGACCTCTGGCTTTAGAGAGGGTGGGAAAAGAAAGGGAATCAGACTGGTCAGGAAGCAAGGCAAGGCATGCCTGGGCAAACCTGAAATTGCTTTTAGGAGGACGGAGTGCACATAGATGTCACTGGACAGCAAGCACAGTGCCTGTGATGCTGGGAAGTGGGAAAGTTTGTGCTCGTAAAGTTTCCGCTCCCGTCCCCCGCCACCTAGTTATGGGATGTTTCTGTGTCCATTTGTCCAGTACAGATAACATAGTGGTCTTTCTCGACTGATTGTTCAGATTGTAAATAAGTGTGTTCAGTTGTCCCAACTTTCATCTGCCTATGGCCAATTTCATGTTTCGACAGACCTCACAGACTTGTGAAGACTTGACGTGATTAGATGATAACACATGAACATTCAGAGAAACACACTTTACATATAGTACCTGGGTTGTTTATTTTTCTATTGCTGTGATAAAACTCCATGACCAAAGCAATTTACAGAAGAACATGTTTATTTTGGCTGCGAGTTCCAAGAGATTAGAATCCTTAATTGTGAGGACACCGTGGCAGCGGACACCCCGAATAAGATGCTGAGTGTTCACATTTTAAAAGGCAAACACAGAACAGAATGAGCAAAATGGAAGAGGGGCAAGGCTATGAGATCTCCAAGTCCACCTTCAGTGACATCTTCCAGCAAAGATGCACCCACCTCCCTAACGAATGCCACCAACTATGATCCTGATAGTCTAACATCCAAGCCTATGGGGCACATATCTTATTCAGAACTTCACAGTATCTAATAACATTCGTTTCTTTTATTGATATTTCTGTGGAGAGCCGCTATTTATTTCTAGCCGAGGGTGGGGAGTGGGGAGAGGTAGAGAAGTAGGAAATTTTCGGCTTCTGCAGCTTTCCTAGGCAGGCCCTTTGACCAGCCTTGACCCGTGCGGGAATCCCTCCCTGCCCGATTCAGGCAGACGCGTTTGTTTTACCCGGTTCCAGTACAGAGATGGGATCTGGAAGGCGGCCAGGCTCTGATACAGGTCGGTACCACATCAGACAAGGAGCAGAGGTGCTGGGAGAGGCTGTTGTTACCTTGCAGGAACGATGGATGCTATATGGATAAGAATCTCAGACATTACGTGAAGTTTTTTCCCTGAGCCGCCGACGAAACTCCAGTCTCCCTTTTAAAGCTCAGAGCCTGCCCTGGTTAGTGTCCCTTGAGGGAGAAGAGAGGAAGAAATTGTCGAGCCCACTCGTCACCAGGCGTTTAAAGAGTACCAAAAACTAATTACATAGATTTGGTTAGACAGTAATTAAGAAGCCCTTGCGTAGGGACCTCGTGGCGCAACGGTAGCGCGTCTGACTCCAGATCAGAAGGTTGCGTGTTCAAATCACGTCGGGGTCAACTGTTTTGTAAATACCTTTAGATGAAAGAACAGCCACCTAATTCTGGGAATGAACCATTAAAACTTGTAAGCGACAGATACCGTGTCTCTTGCACCACTACTCAAATAAATCTCTATATTTAAAAAACAAATGTGCCACTACTTAATCTTCCAAGGCTTCAGAGCTTCCAACAGAACACCTGCACATTTATTTCTTCAGAAGACTTTTAATTATTTTGTGTTGATGACTTAAAATCAGGAATGAGGTACGACACACACACACAAAGATTTTTTTTGTTTGTTTGTTTCTGTTTTTCGGTTGGTTTGCGTTTTTTTTTTTTTTTTTTGAGACAGGATTTCTCTGTGTAGCCCTGGCTATCCTGGAACTCGCTCTGTGGATCATTCCCGGATGCTGCCTACTATTTTTGCCTCCCCTCCCTTTCCCTTCCCTTCCCCTCGCCATGCCTCCCTCCCTTTTTTCTTTCTTTCTTCTTGTTTTTTTTTTTAGATTTATTATTTTCTGTGTAAGAAGCTTTGCATGCACGTGCCCTCGGAAATCAAAAGAAGGTGTTGAGTCTCTTGGAACTGGAGGTTCAGATGTTTATGAGTTACGATGTGGGTACTGGGAATTGTACAACTAGTACTCTTAACCATTGGACCATCTCTAAAGACCCACTTTATCTATGTGCAATAGTTGTTGTAGTGGTCTTGATTCATGGACATTTAAGGTTACACGTCATATAACAATTTACAAAAGATCTAAACTAAACAAAACAAAAAGATCTAAAACAAAGTCCAACTGAACTGAGAAATGCCAAATAGTAGTAAGAAAAGAACATAAGCAGCAGCAGAGTGGCGCAGCGGAAGCGTGCTGGGCCCATAACCCAGAGGTCGATGGATCGAAACCATCCTCTGCTATGAGCGTTTTCGATCTAAGATAGATGTGAAGGAATGTATTTTGATTCTTTTTCATCTCTGGGTGTAACAGAGAATGCTAATTGCTGTAGAGGACGTTTGGTCAAAGTTTTTAAAAACTAGAGTTTGAGTCACAATCTTCTGCTGCAGGTAGAGATAATTTAATGATATTATCTTAAGGAAAAACATGTATAAAAGAACAGTGGCAAAGTTAAATCCTAGACTATATTTATTTTGAAAAGTGAAAATGTAAAATATAAAAAACAATATATAGATATGCAAATAAAGAAGAGAAAGTTGTTTATTCCAAAACCAAACAATAAGGCTCGAGCCAGCCAGGAGTCGAACCTGGAATCTTCTGATCCGTAGTCAGACGCGTTATCCATTGCGCCACTGGCCCACCTATGGGGTCTTGTACTTATAGAAAAAAGAGGTAAAAGGATTATCGTGGAGCTCTGAAGATTACCTTGTGAAGTATTTTTTTTTTATTTCATCTCGAAGGCACGAAACTGAAACGAAATGAAATTTTGCTGATGTATCTACTTTTGTTGAATTTCTTGAAAAATATTTTAAAGTTACTTGTGAAACACCGAACAGGAAGTTTATATATTTAATAAAGAAACTCTGATTTAAAATAACAACATACTTACACACCCGTTGCAGGCAAACTCAAAGGAAAATCTGTGACAAGGGATTAATTACTTGCTCTTAA